AAAAAAAAAAAAAAGAGTCACCATCTCGGAAGCCCACTGGGACAGTCCTACCCTGCCCGACAGGGTCGCTCTGACTCAGAATGGACTCAGTGGTCCTGAGTTCAGAGCTTGGTTTGGGTTTGACTTTATTTTGTTTTTTGAAGCCGAGCGCGGCAGCAATCTTTCAGCCCTTGTCTAGGAGGGAATCCTGTGTCCAGTCACAGCTCTGTCCCACACCGCCCCCCTCACCATCCAGAACTAAAGCAGCCAGACCGTCCCCAAGCAAGGGAAGGGAGAGCCAGGTTCAGATGCTCAGTGAGCCCAGAGCCAGGCCAAGCATTCTGCCGCTGCGGCTGGGGGACAGAGTGTGTGGGGAGGAGCTTCTGGGAGAAGGGACCCCTGAGTAGAGTTGACTCCCCTGTCCCCCCTGGAGGGTGGAAATGAGTGGGGAGGGATGCTGGGTGCCACCCCAAGCCCCTCTATTTACAACCCCCACCCCCAGGAGCAGGGACCCCGGCGGCGGCAGCAGCAGCAGCAGCAGCAAAAGCAGCCGCCAAAGCTGCCCAATATGGTAGGTGCCCCCACTCTGCCCCCCACCCCTGGGCCCCAGCGTGCTGCTCTATGTCCTGCCTAGGAAATAGAGGACAGGTCACCTTCTGGCCTTGGGCCTGGTGACAGCTTTGGAGCCACCGATCACCTTTGGGGGTGAGAGTCCAGTTTCAGGCTAGGGACACAAGCTGAAACAGTCCTGGGAGCCCACCAGTCCCTGACCCCCCTTCCCACAATCCCTGTGGCCCCCTCCCCTCCCCCACCCACCCCAGAAGGGAACTCCTTGCTCTCACACCAAGCTCCCCAGCCCTAACGCCACCTGAGAGCCACCTGGGGACCCCAGGCACCTGCACCTTTCCTTAAGTAGGACCCAACACAGCAACTTCCCTGGTTCAGCCAACTGTCTGCTGGGCCTTGGACCAGGGTGTCTGCCCACCTTTGGCTTTAGGGACCTGGAGTAGCAAGGCTCCCATCAAAATCTCTAGAGTCGCCGGGCCGGAGAACCTCTTCAGTTCAGGTCTGCCGGCCTGTGAGAAGCAAAGCCTTGTTACTGCAGCCACCACTGCAGAGGGGACCCTGTCGTAAGCTTACAGGGAGTGGGTATGGCTCGTCCCCTTCTCCAGATGGAGCCACTGAGAGGCCACGAGCTAAGACACTTGCCCATAGTCAAAGAGTGACTGAGCTGTCAGTCCAGGTACGGCCACCTTCAAGGCTCCCTTCCCTACGCTACCCTGCCTCCATCATTCTTCGGCAAAGTCTCCAGGTGGTCCTGACCCCTCCAAGGGTGCAGACCTGCTGATGCTGCCTGTCCCTCGACTAAGGGTCAGGCAACAGGTCCCACCAAGAACCTACACACCGCATGGCTGGGTCAGGGCTGGCTGAGGGCACAGGCTGGTGCTTGGTCCTGGGCTCCGCCCGTGGGCTCTGTCGTCTGCACAGGGTTCAGGAGCAATTCTTCTCACTCTCTGCAGGCGTGGGCCCTGGCGGTGTTGGCGTGGGCCCTGGCGGTGTTGGCGTGGGCCCTGGCGGTGT